CTGTAGCTCCAGCTATTCGGGTGGCTGAGGCAGGATTGCCAGAACCCACGAGGTCAAGGCTGCGCTGAGCCACGTGTGTGTGTAAGTCACTGCACTGCAGCCTGGGAAACAAAGTAAGACTTCAACTCAAAAAGAAAAAGGAAAAAAAAAACAAACACACACACACACACACACAAGGTGATCATAAAATACAAGTCAACTTTTTCACCTGGAGTTCATCTAAAAAATTGTGATACGTTCCAAGTCTGAAAGAAAAACATGGCTATACAGAACATACTGAGAGACAGTATGCTGTGCCAATTTGCTGTACTCTTAAGAGATTCTCAAGGATAATTTTAGTTATTCATAATTTTCACCTAACAAGTTCACTTTAGATTCTTACTCATTCTTAAGCAAGAAGGAACTGCCCTTGAAAAGTTCCCAATCAAGTCAGGAAACACATTTAGAGCAAGGAGAATAGAGAAAGCACAGCAACCTAGTAAAATACATACATATACACGTTTCATATAATATGCAATATATTATTATTTTATTTTTTTATTTTTTATTTTTTTGAGTTGGAGTCTCACTCTGTCGCCCAGACTAGAGTGCAGTGGCCGCTCCCGGCCACCGCAGCCTCGACCTGCTGGGCTCTGGTGATCCTTCCACCTCAGCTTCCCAAGTAGCCAGAATTACAGGCATGCACTACCATGCCTGGCTGATTTTTTGATTTATTGTAGAGATGAGGTCTCGCTGCCCAGGCGGTCTCAAACCCGCGGGCTCAGGCAATCCACTCCCTTCAGCCTCCCAAAGGCGCGGGATTACAGGCTGAGCCACCGAGCTTGGCTTATATGCAATATATTATGATTAAAAACAACAAATTAGTATAGAACTCTAACTTTCTCTAACTTTCTCTAACTTTCTCTTTCTCATTCAACTAATTACTTATCGAAATGAGAGACTCTGAGAAACTTAAACTTAACTCACATTTTGCCTCAGCATAACCATTTTTGCTTAGACTGACACATTTTGAATCTAGCACAGGTTAGACATAGATAAATTTCCAATAGGTAGGTTTTAGGAAGCGTTCTGCAGACCAAGCTGGCAGCCTACCCCACCTCCTTGGCAAATCTCTATCAGATGTGAGACAAGGACAGCCCAATCGTTCAATTAATGGTTTACCATAATAATCTCTAAGAAACTTCCAGGTTCCTTGTTGAAGGTAAAATGTCAAAGATCACCCCTTAGCTGGCAGAAGCCATAGATACGATAAGACCACCTTTTTGCTAAGGAATTTATGGATTGGAAACATCTGACAGGTCTTTTGCAGCAAAAACCCCTCCCCTTGTCTCCTCCTATCTAGTCCACCACCATGGCAGCAATCACCATGGCTGTCCATCACCAGATGTAAGTACCTGTGCTTACGTGCCCTTTGTGCTGATGTGGAGCAGACCACCACCCAATCACCTTAATGGCCTTCCCCATGAAAAGGAAGGATTAAAAGGACTTAACTGTGAGCAGCCAGTAGCCACTGTCTTGCAAAGCTATGGTGCAACCATGTGCTCTTTTAGTTATGGCCAGGTTGTTTTGGGGCTTTGGCCATCTCCCCTACCTTGAGGAGGTGAATCTTCTCTCTCTGTCTCTGTCTCTGTCTCTCTATTTTAGACTAATCAGAACGAGTATCCCACAAAAATCAAACAAGCACACCCATTACTCAAAGAAAAAAAAAAAGTAAAGCAGACCCACCCACCACACACTAGGCAGTGTATATTTTAATTCTTCCCTCTGGTCCAGTGGAAAAGAGTCTGGCACAGATTATGTCTGAAAAACAAAATTCTCACTTTACCCTAATGCATGAGCCTCTGGAAGATAGATCCAAGGAATATACACCTGCCCCTCTGCAAGAATAGAAAAAACTCAAATTATTTTTCTTCTGTTCTCACACAACAATTAACACCAAGAATCCTGTGACCAAGTGTGTGGGGGTTTATTCACACATTCAAGCAAGCAATCATTTCTGCAGCAGATATCAGTTGGGTGTCCTCCAATTCAATTATGACACTATCTACATGGAGATAGTGTCAGATCCCACAGGTTGAGGGTTCAGTCCTACAAGACTGCCCCCCCCCCACTTATAATGTGAATCAAAAGCCCCAGGATGTTTTACCTGTGCTTCTGACTGCCCAACTATACAATCTCCTCCTTGGATTCAGTTCATTTGCTAAAGTAGCCCACAGAACTCAGGGAAACACATTTATCAGTTTATTATGAAAGATATTACAATGGTATTATAAAGATATTATCCATCACAATGGATACTGATGAAGAGGCACAACACCCTCAAGGAACCCACAAGTTCAGCTATCCAGAAGCTCTCTGAAACCTGTCCTTTTGGGTTGTTATGGAGGCTTCAATATATAGGCATGATTGATTAAACCACTGGCCACTGATGATCAACTTAATCTTCAGTCATTTTCACAGCCCTCCTCCCCCAGGAGTTGGGGGATGGCGCTCTAAGTCCCAACCTTCTAATCATGCCTTGGTTCTTCCGTTAACTAGCCCCCATCCTGAAGCTACTAGGAGTTGCCAACCATCAGTCAGTTCATTAACATACAAAAACACATCACTTAGGAAATGCCAAGGATTTTAGGAGTTGTGTGTCAGGATATAAGACAACTAGTAAGACATCATATCAAACAGGTAACAGAAAAATGAAATTGAACAAATAAATTTATCATTCTCACTTGCTCATCTACATGCCAAAGGGATGACTTGAATGAGATGGTATATGTTGAATCAACATTTATATGGAATTTGTATACTATATGCTAGGTATTATATTAGGTAAAACATACAAGAAATAAGATCTAATTCCTGCTTAGAATAACTTTACAGTATAATGTAAGAGATAAACTATACTGCCTGCCTTCTGATGATTGCGAAATACAAACTAAATATCTCACTCTTTCCTTCTGAGTAATTATACACATTTTCTTGCCATAAATGTTTGTATTTGCCAAAATTTCTATTTCAGGTAGATATCATTTCAAAGTTGAAAACTGTGTCACATTATATCAAGACATATACTACCTAAAGGGCTTGTCTTAGTTCATTTTCTGCTATAACAGAATACCACTGACCGGGTAACTTACAAAGAAAGAAATGTACTTCTCACAGTTCTGGAAGCTGGGAGGTCTAAGAACATTGCACTGGCATCTGGCAAAGACCTTCATGCTACATGCCATAACATGGCACAAGGGCAAGTGAGCACAAGAGACACAGAGTGACGCTATGAGTTCAGCTCTCTTTATAACAAGCCACTCTCAAGATAACTAATCCATTCCCATGATAACTCTGTTAATCAATTCATCAGTACTCTGCCCTCATGACCCAATCATTTCCTAGTAGGCCCTACTTCCCAATGCTTTTGCATTGGGGGTTACATTTCCAACATATGAACTTTTGGGGACAACATTCAAACCACAGCAGGACTTACATGTACTACTTCTCCAAGGAAGGTGTTAATGGAGTAATAAATTTACCTCATTCAATAAGTGCCACACATGTTCATGCTGAATAAACTTTGTACACAAAACTCTTTTGAATTACAAGTTATTAACTCACAGGAGATCAATGAAACCAATGTAAAGACAGGAAAAATAAAGGCTTTTACTAAGGTAGAAATTTATTTCCACTCGTGAACTTAATATTTAAACTGTGCAAAAAGAAAAATTCCTCGTTTTTGGCAGACCACTGGCATGGATATTATCTTTCTGATAAAAGGCAGTGTCAAGTTCATGCTGTTCAAGTAAGATCATCTGCTCCTTTTTCAATCCCAATCACATATAAACATTGACAAAAACACAGTCTTGTAAAAAACTTTCCTTTGGTCAACTAGAAGTGCAGGGCAAGAAAAAGAAGCCTAGTCAAGATTCTCTCTTAAAAGGATGCTGCTAGATTACAGAAAGTTCCCTGAGCACAGAGACTGCATCTCTCTTGATCTCCCAGGCCAAGCACAGAGCTTGAAAACTTGAATACATGAATCACAAAAGAAAACCATTCAGAAGGGATCAAGAAAACTAAGCCAAGAAAAATTAATTCACTAAGATAAATAAGATTACTTAGCCTACACTTAGTGGCAGCTCTAAAGGTCATTTTTCTCATGCAAATTAGCATTACAACCATCCTTAAAAATAAGATACAAGATGAACTAGAGTACAATCCAGAGTTAATCAAAAGCTGAATTCAAAGCTTTTGAGAACACTTTGAAAATCAGAAAAAAGATTTAAATTTATGAAACATGAAATCTGGTGATGGAGACACATTTGCCAACCTAACCTAATTTAGGGAAAGACAGAAAACGTAACTAGCTTGAACTGCACATGTGACATCATTCATATCAAACTTTTAGCTGCCCCCAGAATTATGCTTCTTTTAAATCAAAGAACAGCAAATACATGCGCACATGCATTCCTCGACTAAGTTAACTTATGATAATAAACCTATGTCGAACTGCCCAGTACTCACAAAACCTCGCTAGCACACATAGACACATCCACTTATTTCAAAATGGCATTCTAGGCTCATTCGATGCCAAATTCACTCAGAATCAAACATGGTCAACTACCCTGTTTATTTACTTTCCAGTGTGTGGGTGAAAACGCAAGATTTCTCTCCCAAAATCTACGTGAAGAAAACAAAGTTACCAAAACTTTGTAAAAGAAGAAAAGACAAATTATCCAGGCAAAGGAAAGCAAAAAAGCACTTCATGTGGCTGCGTTGAGGCCTCACACCTGGGCAACCTGTGGCTTGGGTTCGTCTCTTCTATCCCCACCCCCACCTACAAACTCCAGGAGTCAGGCGGTGTGGGTCCGAGACTCGGACACGACCTCAAGCCCCGAGAAGGATGACAGGTCGGGACTTGCCCCTGAGGCCGAGTGAGAGCCGCCCGGCTGGTCGCGTCCCCGCTCCGCAGCCCCCGCCCGGCGCCCCTACTCTTCCTCCCACCTCCACCTCCTCACCTCTCGGCCCAGCTCGTGCGCTTACCTTCACTCTGTCTCCTCCTGCCGCCGCGCCTCCCTCCCTTTCGGTTTCAACTTCCCAAGCC